ATGTTTGGTCCAAACCCGTAAATCTACAGCAATTTTTTGTTGTTTGGTCTGTTTAGGCTTGTATTGGCTCTCTCTCTCTCTCTCTCTCTCTCTCTCTAACAAAAGTGTATTTAAACCCATAATAGGCTACGGAATGACAGAATACGTTCCGATCACACATTTTATAAGTGCCGAGCGCTGGTACTTTACGCCCGGATCTGTGGGTCAGCCCTCGCGTAATACCGAGATTAAAGTCGTGGACACAAACACCGGACACAGCCTTCCGACCAATACAGAGGGACTGATATGCGTGAGGGGACCCAAAATGTTCACCGAATATCTCAACATCGGTTCCACCGATGATATCGACTTCGAGGGTTGGCTTCGGACGGGAGATATTGGACACTACGATGAGAGGCACCGGTTGTTCATCACAGACCGGATCAAAGAGTTGATCAAATGGACGACATATCCGGTTTCTCCCACAGAGTTGGAGCTCTTCCTACAGACACACCCATCGGTGGCCGAAGTGGCCGTCATTGGTGTCAGTCATCGCACTGAGACTCAGTGGCCCCGGGCTTATGTGGTGCGGAGGCCCGGCTATACCACTACCGGTCAGGAACTGTGCCAATACGTGTCCGGTATGTGTTTTACTGATTTTGTTCATTATATACGGGGTTTGTATTTATTTTATGTGTGTTTTATAGACTCCCTGGGCTTTGAGAAGCGCCTGAGAGCTGGTGTTGTATTTGTAGATCACATCCCGAGAACTAACATCTCAAAAGTGGACCGAAAATACTTCAAACAATTGGTGGCCAACGAGTTGTTGGACTGAAACAAAACTTTTTAATGAATAAAATATTCTTTACAATTAATTTACAAATAGTTTTTTATTTTGTTTAAATTAAATTATTATGATTATCACTAAATAATTTAAATATTTTCGTTTTCAAGTTTTAATTTACGGTTTTATTGAATCAAATTGAATAAAAATTATAATTATAGTTAATTTAACAAAATTTAATACTAGTTTTGTTACAATTGCAAACATTTTAATAAGAGATTAGAAATATTATGGTAAATAATTATTAATAATTAAGTGAACAACTTATAAAAGTTAGTAAATATATAATTGCTTAACAATTCTTAATGAATTTATAAATTATAATTAACACTATAATAATTTATTTGTATTATATTAACTTATATTGAAAAATATATAATAAAAATCAATTTAAATAATAAATCAAATTATAATTTGGGCCAAATATAAGACAATACTTGTTTATTCCCGATATGGGCTAATACTGACCACGAAATCACTGTCATCCAGGTCTTCACCTAAAAGCGGATATTTTCAATTGTTTTTAATGTCTTTTTCGCATTCATTATAGCATTCAATAAATCATGCCTTTTATCTACAGTATTGACCACTTCTGTGGTTTCGTCCCAATGACTGTCCCATACATTGTGTGATCCGATCGATGAACAACTCGAAGACAAATCAATCACTGGAGGGCTGATTGAGTGTAAAATGCAATTTATTATATAATATATGATAATAATTAAAATTCATACCTTATTTCACTCATTTGTTGAGCCAATAGTTTGACATCGGATTCAATGATATGATTAGATGCCTTCAATGACGACAACTCTTCACTCAATGTTTGCTTCAATAAATCTGTGGCCATATTTTGATCACTGAATATAATTATAAATTTAAACCTAAACATCATTTTAAAAGCAATAAAAAGTGATATAACTACTAAATATATCACACCTAATGTTTTTAGACATCATTTGTGACAACGAATGCACCGTTTGTTTCAAATCATTGATCTCTTTATCTATTGTCTCCATTGAATCCTTGGATGTCTTGAGCTGTTCTTTCAATGCCTTCACTTCGGACTCATTGCTTGCCTTAAGAGTCGACATCTCTTCACACAATTCAGTGATCTTTCGGTCCGACTCTGAACTCAGACTATAGTTTTGAACAAACATTTTATAAATAAAATATAATACATTATATTAAAATACAACATAATAAAAGTAATACAAAAAACTTACCATGGTGATTGATCGTTGAGTTTCGAAGAGATTAGTATTTCATAGTCATTGTCACACAAACTGTCCAATTTGTAATCATCATCAAATAACATGTAAATTGTGTCACTTGAGTCCACTGATGTCTTGAGGCCAATAATATCGGTGTTTTCATTGTACACACCTTTGGTCAGTAGAAAACTCTTGAGATCTCTGATTGTCTCAACACTATCTGGTATATGGATGCCCAACATATAACTGCAACCATCGTGGTTTATTTTATAGATAGGCATTATATACTAGTGATTATTTAATTATGATCAAAATAATTGTAATAACTTTTATTTATTATTTCAGATTTAATTGTTGACTGTCTGGTAATACTAAATGAATACCATATTGTTATCTATACTTCCATCTCGATAATTATAGTTAGGTTTGTATATAATTTCCATAGATATATAACTTGATGTGTATATAACGCGTATAAAAAGTTTTAAACTATTATACCAACGAAAAATAACTATCTATACTAAACGATTACATGCAATATAATTTACATCTAGCATTGAATTATAGTAATATAAAGTAAATATATTAAATAATTACTAGAATATGAGTTGTTGGACTGAAAACAATAGTTGTGTTAAAAAGTTGTAAACTTATTATCATTATATGGAAATAGTATTTACATTTGTTTAAATATAAGTTTTATTGTTTTTATTGAATTATAAATTAGAAATCATTTTATTAGTTAATTAAATTGTTATCAACATAACACTATTTATAAGATAATTATAAAATCGCAGATAATTATGTTTATAAATATATAAGTGTAGATACAATTTGTTTGTGATTACAAGGAATGCCACAAAACTTGTGATTATTTGAATTATATGTGATTTAAATGTAATGAAGAAAATTCTGGCGAATAACTGATTAAATGTTTACTTTACTAAAGAATTCATACAAAAACCCATTGGTTTTCAATGGATTCGCTGTCATCCGAGTCCACGAGTGTTGTCAACGACTTATCCTTTTCTCTCAAAAATACATTCAATAAATTGTTTGTTATTTTGTTTTGAACTTTGAATTGATCCCAGATTTCAGTGAATATATCCTGAATATTGATCTCATCACTAGTTTTGTCTGAATTAGTGGTCAATTTATTGTGGGATCCGATCGATGAATAACTGGGAGACAAATCACTCACTGAACCCCTGTTTACATATAAAATTTTGAAATTATTATTTATTTTACAAAAATTTTATTTAAATCCTAACCTTATATTCTGTGCATTGATTTCTTGAGACAATTGTTTGACATCGGATTCAATGATATGTTTCGATGCCTTCAATGCCGACAACTCTTCACTCAATTCACTGTTTTTCGTCGACAATTCACACAATTTTTGCTTCAAATCTGTAATCACTTCTTGATTACTGACGAGTGAGAAAAATATAAATAATTATCAAACTAAAAAACTTTTAAACTAAAATTTAAAAATGATATCAAACCTCATCTCATAAGTCAACAACTTTTGTTTTAAATCATTGTTTCCTTCAATCCATGTCTCCATTGAGTCGATGGCAGTCTTGAGCTGTGCTTTCAATGCCTTCACTTCGGACTCATTGCTTGCCTTCAGAGCCGACATCTCTTCACACAATTCACGACACTTTCGGTCCGACTCTTCACTCAGACTAGAGTTTTGAACAAACATTATAAACATTTATAAATGAATTATAGTATAATAATACGAGTATCAATAAAACATACCTTGATAATTTAGCATAAAACTGATCATATTTTGTACGTATGTAGAGTGCCGTAATTTTGTAAACTAGGCAACTTGCAATCCCTGTACAATATAAATGATGTCGGTATAAATGTTTTGGGATCACTCGACCCTCTCGATAGGGCAAACGTATCGTTTTCTTCATTGTATAGATTACTGTTTTGTAGAAAACTCTTGAGAACTCTGATTGTGGTAATACTCGCCGGTATATCAACACTAATCCTATGTTCACTGCCGTTATATTGTATGTAATATATAGGCATAATTGTTTAATTATGGACTAATTGTTTGATATATGACTGACTGATTGTCTCTCTGTGTATGTGATCTGATCTCACAATCACTATTAAACTGGTGGTCAGTTTGGCTCAGGTATGCGCACATGATATCACTTGATTGGCATTCAATATGTTGTGAAAATATTTTAAATAACCAAAGATTAATCTTATGTTTTAAATGCAATACAAGTGTTGAATCCATACAAACCCAAGACCACAGTCTTAATAATAATCCCTATTTATAAGCGATTAGTTTCAAAAATATAGGATTAAAATGAGAACCAAATGTTGTTTTAGTTTAACTTTAGTTTAATATCGATTTTATTATCAGCAAAAATGAAAACATATGACTGATTTTCATCTGTATTCCTAACATTGATTTAATAATCTCAATAATCATATTTGTTGAAAGACTTAATTGAAAACATATGGACAACACATTTGTAATAATGTTCTCAATATGTTTATTAATATACATGTATTTTCAGTTAAGTTATTCAGCAAATAACTACAAATAATACTGTATTTGAGACATCATTTCCAGAGTTGGAGTCAAACCAAACACATTTAATATTTTGTTAGAATTATTGAATAAATTGTATATTTTGCAAGTTTTAAAAATTGTATTTTAAAGATGTTGTTGACTGAAATGAAAAGTAAATTTAATGCAATGAAGAGTTTGTGTGGAATTAGACTATATTTCTGATCAAAATGTTTGTCACAATTTTCTTCATCACATTTGAATCTTCAATCAATCAAACAATTGATTGCAATTCATGTAAAATCAGTGATAAAATGCTAAACAATTATTATACTAAAGTAAAATTATTTAAATGTGATTTTAATAATTGTAATAAAGTTTTTACATATAACACAAATTTAATTCGGCACAAAAATGTTGTTCATTTAAATGTGAGATTTATTTGTGATTTCAATGAATGCAATAAAAGTTTCAAAAGAAAGGATCGATTATTACTTCATAAAACTTCTGTTCATTCAAATGATGCCAAATATTTACACTGTTTTTGGCCTAAATGTCAATATAAAACATTATTTAAATGGCATTTAAATAAACATCAATCAAATCATTCAGAAAAACGACAATTTAAATGCAATTTCAATAATTGTAATAAAAGTTTTTGTCAAATATCAGATTTAATTCGACACAAAAATGGCGTTCATTTAAATGTAAAATTTATTTGTGATTTCAGTGAATGTGACAAAAGTTTTTCACAAAGAGGAGACTTAATTCGACACAAAAGTTATGTTCATTTAAATAATAAGATTACAAAGAGATTCAAATGTGATGAAGAAAATTGTGACAAACATTTTGATCAGAAATATAGTCTAATTCAACACAAACGCATACATACGGGAGAAAAACCATTTGTTTGTTATATCGATAATTGCAATATAAGTTTCAGTCAATCCGCGAGTTTATATAACCACAAGAAAACCCATTTAAATATCAGAAAATACAAATGCAATTCAAATAATTGTGAGAAATGTTTTACCATTAAATCGGAATTAACAAAACATATAAATAAATTTCATTTGAATGAAAACTCTTTCAAATGTGATGAACATAATTGTGGCAAATGTTTTAACAATAATTATAGTCTAAATGAACACAAACGCATACATTCGGGAGAAAGACCATTTGTTTGTCATTTCACTTATTGTAACAAAAGTTTTTTATATAAGCGTAATCTTATGAGACATATAAATAAAACCCATAAATGTGTTGTTAATAAAACATCATTTAAATAACCAAAATAATTGCAAATTATAGATAAATTATACATATAAATTTGTATTTATTTGAATTTAATGTAAAATTAACTAAACATATTCACAATTTAATTTATAGACTCGTGATGTTTTATTTGATAATAAATATATAAGAATTGTCTTAAAATTTGTCAATTTATTAATTTTTATAAACAATTATTTTATTTTATTATTAATTAAAAATTTTATTACATTTATTGTGTGTATATTTTATTACAAATAAATGTACTTGCTGTCACTGTCTCAACACAAATACCGGACACGTATTGCCGGGCCTCCTGATCACATAAGCCCGGGGCCACTGAGTCTCAGTGCGATGGCCGACACCAATCACCACCATTTTGGTCGCCATCTAAACAAATTATAAATTATTTTCATTTGCATTAATGTTAACCATTTATATAGCGATTATAGATTATATCAAACCTCGAGTTAGAAGTCAACAATTGTTGTCTCAAATCATTGATCTCTTTCTCCATTGTTTGCATTGAATCGATTGTATTAATTGTATTAATCGATATTATTTATCACAGGCTTTGCATATGATATGCAAATAATAAAGTATTTGAAAGTCCGGTTTCTACCACTAACTCGTGAGATCTAGATTTGTATGGACTCAACACAATTGGATTGCATTTAAATTTCATTTGTATTTATTTAAAGCATTTTTGTGATTAGTATTCATGATATACTGTACAGTGTACTATACACTCCATGTGTGCGCATACCTGACACCAAAACTCACTATTAGTTTAACAGAGATTTTGAGATCAGATCGCAGTCACAGAGAGTCAGCCATATATCAAACAATTAATTAAATAAAAATTATTAAATACAATAATTTTAACCATAATTAAACAATAACTACCTTATAATGTCTACCTATTATCTACACTATACGGGAAGCGATGATATTATTGCCGTCGATATACCGACTAGTGTTGAGACAATCAAAGATCTTAAAGTGTTTCTACAAACCAAAAGTCTGTACAATGAAAACACTGACACTCTATCATCAAAATGTGACTTAAATTCATGGAAATTTCACCATGATGATTATAAAATGGCCATGTTGTATGAAGAGTACAATATCAATAAGTTGTACATTTGTACGTTGCCTGATGTGGTGATTCAACAACAAAGGTAACATGTTGATTTTTTAATTGTTTTAATAGTTTATTAATCAAATAATTTTGTTTCAAACTATAGACTGTATGAAGAGGTGCGCAAAAAGTTGAGCCAAATATATAGCGAAGATATAACGGCTCTGAAGGCGCAGATAAAGAAAGCCACGGATTCAATGGTGACTATTGTTACCGAAAATAACGATTTGAAGCGAGAATTGAGTGAAATGTCGACAAAAAACAATGAATTGAGTGAAGAGTTGTCGGCATTGAAGGCATCGAAACATATCATTGAATCCGATTCACACATTTGATTATAATTCGTATTAATTTTTTGCCACAATATTCTTCATTACATTTGAATCTCTTTTAATTCAAATGAACACAAATTTTGTATCGAAATAAATGCTGTTTTGTTTTAAAACTTTTGTGGCATTTATTGAAATTATAAAATTGATCTCACATTTAAATGAAGTATTTGTTTAATTATTGGTTCAAATGAAATTAAATGGTAAGTCAACCAATCCCAGTATAAAAAAAACAAAATCTAGTTTAAAACACAGTCTCAACACAAATACCAAACACGTATTGGCACAGCTCTTGACCGGTGGTGGACCACATAAGCCCGGGGCCACTGAGTCTCAGTGCGATGACTGACACCGATCACCACCATTTTGGCCGCCATCTGAACAAATTATAAATTATTTGTATTTGCATTAATTTTAACTATTTATTAAGCGTTTATATATTATATCAAACCTCGAGTTAGAAGTCGACAACTTTTGTTTCAAATCATTGATCTCTTTCTCCATTGTCTGCATTGAGTCGATGTCAGTCTTGAGCTGTGCTTTCAATGCCTTTACTTCGGACTCATTGCTTGCCTTCAGAGCCGACATCTCTTCACACAATTCACGACACTTTCGGTCCGACTCTTCACTCAGACTAGAGTTTTGAACAAACATTTTATAAATGAAAATAATATTATTATATGACTATTAAAAAACATACCTTGATAATTGGGAATTAACCAAGGTATTAGATCTGGTATGAATGTATATCACATAGCATTTGCATTTATACAAATTGGCCAACTTGTAATCATCATGGTAAAAGCTATAAGTCTTTGAATACCCAAAAGCNATAATATTATTATATGACTATTAAAAAACATACCTTGATAATTGGGAATTAACCAAGGTATTAGATCTGGTATGAATGTATATCACATAGCATTTGCATTTATACAAATTGGCCAACTTGTAATCATCATGGTAAAAGCTATAAGTCTTTGAATACCCAAAAGCAATAATATCAGTGTTTTCATTGTACAGGCCTTTGGTCTGTAGAAAAGCCTTGAGATCTTTGATGGTCTCAACACTCGAGTGTATGTCTATTGTAATCATGTTATCACTGCCCGTATAGTTAACATAATACGTATTCATCATATACTAGTAATTTGTTTAATTATGATAATAATAATAATATTTAATAAGTTTTATTTAGTAATTATTAGACATTTACACTTTGTCTGTGATTTCACATTTAATGATAAACTTATGGTTAGTTTTTGGAGTCAGGTATGCGCACCTGTAGTGTATATCCTGAATACTTATGGTGTAAATGTTTTAAATAAATACAAATGAAACTTAAAATTTAAATACAATACAAGTGTTGAGTTTAAGGGATTAAGAGTTATTGGGGGAACCGGACATTAACCCAAAATTTTTACTTATATTGGGTATTAGCTTATTATCAAGGATATTGCTAGTTTATTAATCTAGGTGAAATATAAATTTGTATATAAATAGCATTTAAAATAAAATTAAGTTGCATTTAATTTAACCAAAATATTTAATGTTTGAAAATGTGTTCAAAATTAATGAGTGTTTTGTTGATTGAAATGAAGAGTAAATTCAATGCAATTAAGAGTTTGTG